GGATGTTCACTCCCTCAATTTACGCGTACGGGCGTTCACACGAATCGACCCGTGTGTATGCGCGCCACCCGCCTGGTACATATGCTTGAATGCGCGCACGCACGCACGTATGTACGCACGCACGAGCGTGGAAACGGAGCGGGATGCGAGCGCGGGTGGTGTAGCACGGGGGCGGGAGAGGGATGAAGATAGAGAGGCGAACGTACTATACGATCTCTCGCCTCTGTAAGCGCTTCTGTCAACTATACGTCGCTGCACCGGGGGCGCACAGCCGCATTGCTCGCGCGCTGCAGTCAGCCTCTCCGCATCCCCCTGGCGCCCCTCCGGGCCGTCGGAGGTCGCAGCCACCGCGGCGCGATTGTGTGTTCCGCGGTACATGCCGTTTGTCACCATTCAAGACGCTGACGCCGAATGCCGAGCGAGTTTCGCCACGAGTCGACGGCGAGAGAGGATTCTCCATCGAGGCCTGCCGGCGGGGAGGCAAGGGGACGCGGGACGCTCGCGCGTTTGCGGAAGACGACGCTGGCATTGCGCCGCTACGGCGCGATTCGGCGGCGACGGCGGTCGGCGTGCGAATTTTCATATCACGGGATATCATTTCGCAGTCGTTTGCGGGAAGTCACGACTGTTTTGACGATCGCGTTATTACAAATAAATTGTCGTTCATACGCCGTGCAATTACGCGTTCTTGTCATAATTTGTTCCTGCGTTAATATTGCGTTTCTTTTATTTATTTCTTTTCGATGGACACTAAATATTATTCCGTACTCCGTTGCGGACGCGGTTAATTTCAGTTTCCTTTTTTGTCCACGGACATGTAACTCGGGCTATGATCTAAAGAGGAAATGCAAATCGTGAGCGAAATTAAGTAAATCAAGATAATTAGGTCGCGTCTATGTCTTTCTTTTATACACGGCTATTAGCATAAATTTACATTTTAGATGCAAGTTCGAACGCAGTAAAATTAAGCTTGTAGCAGCTAAATGGAGTTCGAGCTGCGTAAAACACGCTCTAACAATTACGCTCACAAATAAGAATCATCTCGTTCATTTGTACTAATTCCGCAAATCGATTAATATAATAAAACGAACAAAATATTGGCAACGGTATATATGCAATGTGTAAAAATTTTGCGGCTGGCTGTTTTGAATAACTTTCCTAACAAAAACTTAATTAAATGCCACATTTAATCGCAGTTCAGATACAGAGATCTACGAACCAAGAGCTTCAGAATTTTTAAGGGAACTTTTAAAAAGCAGTAACAGTTGGTTCTTTGTCCCGAGGACATGCACGTAAGTCGGGGGAAACAAAGGATATAGCCGAATCCAATAGAGTCCTTTCGTCCGCATCGTGCGCGGTGTGATTACGCTGTATCTTGTGAAATCAACAAGATTATCCATTGACGAAAGCGGACCATCTGCGCATTGTTCAGGCGTAGATGATATATAGAGTAGTCTTGTGATAGCCGCGATAATCCTCATTGTTTAAGCGTGATACAAGAAATGTTATCCCCGTATTAACGTGATATTTTTTAAATATTAGCTAACATTAATTATAGTTATCTCATTATCAACGGTAATCCGAGTTACTGATTAATATTTATAAATGGAATATTAATTAATATAAAGAGTGGATCAAACATTTTTTAATGATATATTTCTCTGCTTTATATTTCAAATAGGTTTCCACACAAATCATGAAATTTTAGTTCTTTACTTCTTAATATTTTATATCGTAAATACAAAACCTTTTGAAAATATTTCCCAACACAGACCTGTAGTTTCCTCGCGATAAAAAAGAACAATAGAAACGAGAGCCGTCCAAGCATGCGTTCAATAATTAAAATCTTCGATCAATCGCTCGTGCTAATCGGACCGCGAACGGTTCATTTGCATTTCTCCCCTTCGATCTTCGTCAACGTAGTCCGTCGCGAACAACGCTCTCGCAACAAGTGTGCGTCTGTCCGAAAAAATCCGATTACTGCTGGTAATGCGACTTACGCTCGAAGCCGATAGAAACGCGTCGTCTACGCGAGCCGGTATAATCCTCAGGGCCGAAATTTTTGGACCGATCGGCCCGCGGCGAGCCGAGTCGTAACCGAATTTCGGCACAGCTCCCGCCGCTGCTTTGCACGGTACCTTCCGCCTCATCGATATTCTATTAATATTTCAATATTCCCGGCCAGCTGCTTCAGACACGAGACAATATCTACGGCAAGTATGCATCTGTCGGTCCGCGATGCAACGGTGCGACGGAACACGTCCGTCATGTGCAATAACGTAAGATGGCCCCGCGGCTTTACGACGGCGGGCGACACGTTTCTCTCTCCCGATCGCGCGTTATGCGCTCGGCTGAAAGTGCGCTCCGATTTCGACGATAGTGTCAGCACGGCATTGATCGCGGGGCGAAACGAACGCGCGTTTTCCCGCATTGCGCAATCCCTTTTTTTTCGGCACGAAAAATCACGGAGACTTAAAGAGCGGAATTTTGACCGTTGATATTCGAAAGATTAATGCGAAATAGTTGTTTGTTTGAAAAATAGCGGGCGGCTGTTTCTAGTTTTACCGGCGATAGATCAGGAGTAAAAATGCATTTTTCTGCATTGCATATTCTTTTTTCGAACGGAAAATCATGGAGATTTCAAGAGCGGAGTTTTAACTGTCGACGCGCGTATATAATATGCGAAAGAATAATGTGAAACGGTTGTTTGTTTGAAAATGCGAATGGTTATTTCTAGTTTCGTCGGTGAAGCTAGATCAGAAGTCAAAACACGTTTTTCCGCGCGATAAAAGATGAAATAAATATGACTCGAGCTTGCACACACAAAATCTTCCACAAAATTAAATAATGTAATATAATCTATTTCTAGTTTCATAAACGCAGCTACGAGTGAAAACCACGTTTTTTTCTCTCTCTTTCGCGCGAACAGAAACCAGTATGACTTGAGAATAGACCTCCACCGTCGGATCGGAAACTGAAACACGTTTTTCCGCCTTGCGCGCGCCTTTCGCGCGGAAATCGGTATAAGCGTGGAATGGCGTATTTGACGTCGGTGCTCGTGAAAAATGTAGAAAATAATTTCTCCCACGACGAAACGACCATTCTTAGTTCGCGATCCTTGCGACAATTCCTCTTTTCATCGGCATGATAGATACCGGTATCGCCGGAGTGTTTTTAAAGCGAGACAGCATTTTGTATAACTTTATTACGTTTATTATGAACTTCGCTAACTGCATAATAGTTTCAGTGGAAACATGAATGCAATTGGAATACTATAAAATTGAAAAGCCAATCACGATGCACAAGTTTGCCTTACTGCAACAATGACAATCGATCCAATTAAAACTTAAGTACAATTCTAATTTGGAGTTGAAGCGACGTAATTAAAGTTTATACATTATGCCTTGCATTCTCGCTGCTCATAACGTGCAGCATGCAAATTGCACGTTTGCCATTACACTCTATTATTATAAATACCTGCTTCCCAACACACCAATTTGCACCGTGAATTCAATTCGTTGGACGTAACTTTCTTCCGGGGCCGGCTTTACTACACTGAAACAAAATAATGTTCCGCTCAATGTCTCGTAAATATGAATACGCGATAATATTAATTGCGCATTGCAATGTTCCGATGAATGTTTCGTAAAAGTGACATTAGTCAGATTTCCAGTTACGAATAATTAATTGCAGTCTTTCTCGAGAAGTATCTTTCTTCAATTTTTGTTTCCTTTAATTGTCGTCCATTCAGCTCCCTCGTGCCTCCGCACAATGCAATTTTGCCCATTCGACTACTTAAGGATTAAAATCGGATGAATGCATTCTGAATGACTGCAAACACTTCATTCCACTGAAGCATAACATATATATTCTGCTTCATAATGCTGCTCCCTATTCGGTGCTAACGAGGCGTAAGCAGCCGAATGAACTAGTCCCATTGAGATACTTGAAAAGTGATAATACAATCGGAATGAACCGAGATGTTCGCCTGCTCGCAACTGTCCTAAAGCGGCTTCAAGATACGTAAAGCCGTGCTCTGATTTTTTTTATCAGATATTTCGGGAAACATTTGAGGATTATTCATCTCGAGCATTATAATTGCATTATTAATTGCATTATTAATCTGTATCGCATAATACGCATTATTAATTTGTTATAAAATTGAACGTTGCTTCGAGTAGGATTTACCTTTTTTTTTTTCCTTCAACCGCTTATTTGCGCATTCGTTAATTGCACGAATTATTTTATCGCCGGAATGCGCAGCGATGATAATATTGGAATATCGACACACGCGAATTATATTCTCCAGAGATGCAGTCCGACACCCAATACGAGCATCACAGTCGCAGAACAAATTTACAGGCAAGATATCTAATCAGCATTATTAGTATAAATCATTACTAAATTGACCCGCCTAATCAACGCCGAATCCAATGTCCACACGCGCGCGTGCAAATGAAGCGAAGAACCATATCGGTTGGAACTTGAGCCACTCGCCGCGCGGAGTTATTATCGTGCGTCGGAGATACGCGACGCATGGATTGGCCGTAACAGGCCGGCGGAACGTTTACATTTCGCGAGCACATTACGGTGCATAATTACCCGCGAGAGTAATCGCAATCAACGCCTCTCGAACGGGCGCACGTTCGTTGCAGCGCACCGCGATCGACATTACGGTTCAACAACTTGACTCTCGCGCTGCGCTATTGTCCCACCGCCTAAATGTGTCCTCTCGTCTCTCCAAGGTATCCGGCAGCTTCGCTCGGATAAAGACGGCGTGACGCGAAATTACTCGCGCAGACAACGAACCTGTGCAATCATTGCGGACGTTAAATTACCGCGACGAAATATCGAGGCATCGATCGAAAGTGCGGTCGGATGCTGCATTGAGCATCTCTCAGCACGACGGCCGGCCAGACGAGCTAATTAGACGATTGAACGTTACTCGAGAAGTAAAAGCGCTTCTAATGAGCGGCGTTGACCACGATACGCCAGTTGCGGAAACGCGAAACGATCGGCGTGCACTAATGAGAGATCTGTTCTCGGGAAGGCACTTGCGCCGCTCACAAAACGAAGCCGATTGTCGATCGGATTATTAACAGACAAGATAACGACCCTATCGACGTATTATTAACAATCGCAAAAGCTTCTCGAGTCACGTCGTCTTGAAGAATCACATTGTATAGAATTTAGTGTACACAATCTCTTACTTTTTTTTCGAAATTCGAGAAATATTTTACACGGTTGAGAAATGTGTTTCAATTTTTTTTTTTTGGTGGGATTTGAAATGAGGTCAATTGTCGAATAAGTTATCAATAATAAAACAATATGAATTTTTGAGCCATGTGTCTTCATAAAAAATTCAGCACAAAGATTATCTTCGTTTAAAAGCTTCATCAAAAAGTTTACGGCTCACATTCTTACGAAAGTGGGGCAAGATCGTTTTTAAGATAATAGCTGAAGTTTCAAGAGTAAATGGATAGACCCTGAGAACGAGGGGCCACCCTTGGCGACGGCAATAATGAGTGTCGCGTGGCGAAAGGGTGCCGGTTACGCTGGCCCTTTCGGGGTATCCGGAGTGCCGTTATTAATGGAGAACGAAATAAATTTCGGCGCGCGACCCGGCTTATTAT